TTTTAAATGTTATATATACCTGTATTTTCTACTGCTGCTGTAACAAGTTACCAAAACCTGTTGCTTAAAACAATAGAAATGTGGGTTTTTTTACAGTTCTGGAGGCCAGCAGTTCAAAATGAGTTATACAGGGCTAAAGCCAAGGTTTTGTCAGGGCTGGTTCCTTCTGGAGATTTCAGGGGAGAATCTGTTCATTGCCTTTTCCATCTGGTGTCACTGGCGTTCCTTGGCTTGTGTCCACAGTACTCCAGTCTCTGCTTCTGTGGTCACATTGCTTCTTCCTCTCCTGTAGCTAGATCTCCTCTTGCCTCCTTCTTGTAAGGACACCTGTGATTGCATTTAGGACTCATCCAAATAATCCAGGATACCATTCCCATCTTGAAATCCTTGACTTAATCACATCTGCAAAGCCCCTTTTGCCTTATAAGGTAACAGTCACAGGTTCTGTGTTTTAAGATGTATATATTATGTGGGCCATTATTTAGCCTCACCACAGTACCCATTATAATATACCCAGATTTTAATACAAAATATTATTTTAACCAGGATCTTTTCAACGTGTTTCATTTAGAAGAAAGACATTATGTTACATTTTAATATCAATGCAGAAGTTTGTGGTTAGCTTTTAATTGACCATTTTCTCATGCTGATTAGTATTTTTCTAAAAATAATTCTTTAATTTTATGACACCTATAAAGCACCAATATATCCTAAAAATAGGAATGTTTGTAGCATCTTCCCTTTTTTCTATATTTGTAATTTTTCCCTAGCTATCAAAATTAGATTAGAAGTTAGCCAGAGATAAGTTAGGAGGGTCCTATACAACTACACAGATGGTCTAATTTGGTGGGAATGGGCATGTTGATTAGGCAGGATATTGAAATAGAATACATTTCAGTAAATCATTTGGAAATTTTGGTTTTATCATGGTTTCCCCACTCTTTTTTTAATGTTTAAAGAACTTATTTGTAGATAATTTTATACTTACATAATAGTTGCAAAATCAAAACAGTACAAAAACACCTACATATCCTTTACCTAGATTCACCTAATGTTACATTTTACTCTATTTGCTTTACCTTTTCTCTCTTTCTCTATATTCATATGAATGTTCTTTGTCTTTAATGACATTGACATTTTTGAAGAATATAGTCCCAACTCCTTTTTTTTTCCATTGTTAGATCTTTAAAAAATTGGATATAATTCATATACCATGCAATTCACGTTTTTAAAGTATATAACTTAGCAGTTTTTGGTATATTCATAAGATTGTACAGCCATCACTGTGATCTAATTCCAGAACATTTTCATCATCCCAAAGAGAAACCTTGTACATTTTAGCAGTCCCTCCTCATTCCACCCTTCCTGCAGCCCCTGACAACTACTAATCTACTTACTATCTCTTTGGATTTGCCTATTCTGGGCATTTCATATAAACGGAATCATATAATATATGACCCTTTGTGTCTGGTTTCTTTCACTTAACATAATATCTGCAAGGTTCATCCATGTTGTAACATGAATCAGTACTGAATCATATTAAGTGCAGAATAATATTGCATCGTATGGCTTAATAAGGCTGAATAATATTTCATTTATGCATATATCACATTTTATTTATCCATTCACCATTTGATGGACATTTAGGTTGCTTCTACTTTTTGGCCACTATGAATAAGGCTACTAATGAACATTCCTGTATGAGTTTTTAAGATAAACATCTTTTCTATTCTCTTGAGCATATTAATACATCTAAGAGTAGAATTTTGGGGTCATGTGGGTCAGGTTAAACTATGTTTAAGTTTTTGGGAACTGCCCACTCATTATTTTTAGTTTCTTTCCCGAGAAATTTTTCCTCCTCTTTGGAAATTCAGAGCAGTGATTCTGGGGTTTGGCTGATGGGTGCTTTTTCAACTTCAGATGTCCTTCCAGAGATTTAATGTTTAAGATAACTTCTTTAAAGCCTAGCATGATGCTCCTCTCTTGACCTGAGAATAAATACTAAGATGGTCTGACCTAGCAGAATAGTTCTTTTCATTTTTGTTTAGTAGATTTCAGTGCTTTTAGTTTTCTTTTTGGTCCAATTAAAGAGATCGTTGGCAACCTTAGTTGTTTTAGGAGATTGGAATGCTTCCTAACTGGGATGTTATTTATCATTATCTAATGGCTTACAAGGAGAACTGGGAATCCATTCAACAAATAAAGGGTTTTTTTCATCTTAAAAAATCATGGAGAAAATGACCCTAAATGTAGCATTAGTCAGATTCCTTTAAATGGAAGAAAATATAAAAATGAATTTTAGCAGTATAATTATTTTAAAGATGTGATGGCAAATCTAGATAAAGCCATGGGAATAAAATTTGTTTAGGTATTAGTTTAATATCTATAATAATTGCTTTTTCCAACCTGATGGGACAAAAATAAAAAATTTGAGTATCTAGTTCAAGCATCTTTAGTCATAGGTGAGAAGATCTTTTAATATCTTAAGAAGCTAAAGAAATATAAAATTCAATCAAAGACAAGAGTTGGAATAATAGTTGCAGAATTCTGTGGCATATTGGCAAAATTAAACAACATTTAACTTAGATTAAGTAATCTAAGACTGTAGGCTCGCAGAGTTGTGAGATCAACTCTGTCTTTAAGTTATAAAACCCTTAATATACAAAATAAATAATAGAGTCATTGAGAAGAATCCAGGTATGTCCCAGCTGAAATCTCTCATGATAGTGAAACTTTGATCAGCTAAAGTGATCACCAAAAATGCCTTGGGATGAAATAACTGTTTCAATAAGGGGTATGCAACTTTAACTCTAAGGAGATTTAATAAAGTATAAAAATATTTAAGAATCAAGCTCATGGAATTAGTAGTTTTATGCTAAAGAGGTAGTATATATTTATTTCATATACTCATTAGAGTAACGTGTCAGTCTTCTAATTTCATTTTTAAAGTTATAATTAAATAATTATTCTTGTGATTGTTAAATAGAAATGTTACCAAATTTGTATACATTATATGAATATTTACAAAAACTTAAGTGTCACCATAGTTATACATTTCATTTATTAGATTTATAAATACTGCTTTAAGTACTTGGAAACTTTTGCGATATAAGTGAAATGTCTAAAGTAAATATACTTTTTCGGGGTATTTAACTCAGTATGTAAATGTGACCAAATATTATTCCAAACTCTTAAAAAAAATTTTGGTTAAATGATGGTCATTGTAAATGTAATATTGTTAAATGCTTGATTGTTTTGTTTTGCTTTATGTAGTATTGGACTTTGTTCTTGTAGGCAGATATTTGTGGATTAGCTTGAGCTTTATAATAAGGCTTGACTTGAAGCTTTATTGGGGCAGAATCTAGAGCAAACATTACTCTAGGGCCAGCCCTACTACTAATACATGACCCTTGTTGGGTCTCTACTGAGTTCTCTTGGTGTTCAAAGAGGCCTCTTCTCTTTAAGGAGCTAGATCTTGAATGAATTCCAGCCCTATGTAAACTCTGTGAATTTCTCCCCAATTATTCTTGACCTAGCCTTGTGGAGTTCACTCCAACATGCATGGCTGAGGATGCAGTTCTCAAGCTCTTTTCTCTGATAGCTTCCTCTTCTCCAGTATTCTACCCTGTAAATTCCTGCTGCCTCAGCCTCACTCTGCCAGAGTTCTCCTCCCTGAGCTGTGGGCTATATGATCCTGTAGTCAGAAAGCTGGGGCTACTGTGGGGATCATCTCATTTGTCTCCTTTCTCTCAGGAATCAGAGTCTTGCAATGCCTGTTGCCTAGTGTCTGAAAACAGTTGAGATACACACACTCATGTGCACACACACATAAATCTTCTAGTCATTTCTGAAAGCATATTTAAAATTTTGTTTAGAGATGGCATATGTCATGTCTACAAAGCCATAAAAATGGCCATACCCAACTCTCTGTCATCGAGGCAGAGAGTTGACTCTCTCTTGGGAAAGCCTAACAAGAATGGGGAGGGAATGAATAATTGTAAGTAAGATGGTCCAGCAGAGAGAGGTAACAAAGTCCTGGCAACCCAGTGTTTCCCAAATTGCAAGATATTAATAATAATGGTGATGACAGTGATGATAATGATAATGATAGTAAGTGTTCAATAAATGTTAGCCATGTGCTAGTGTTAATACTTACATATAGTAACTCTCTCAAGAGTCACAGTAAATCCATGAGGTAGGTACTATTGTTACCATTTTATAGATAAGGACATTGAAACTTAATAAAGTTAAATTTTTTGTCTAAGGTAAGTTGGACCCAGGTGTGAAAACTAGGTAGTCTGGCCAAATTATGGTTAATACAGTGTACTATGTTCCATCTTCATGTATTAAAGATTCTGAGTAGTTTTGCTTAACTTTATTAAACCTAGTTTTTCAATTTATTTTGAAACTTGGATATCTATTAATATTATCAATTGATGGCTAATATTTCATGGAGTGCTTGTACTATAAAATCCTTGTGGACAAAACCAATGTCCTACTTGACTTTATAATTTGTAATTAAGAGAACTAACTTTGGTATCAAACACATCATTTTCTCCCAGCCCTCCCTACCTCCTTACTGTGTTCTTAAGCCCTGAAGCCTCAATTTCCTCATAAAATAGAAATGACAGTGTCTCCCTCACACTGATGGGGACACTTAACTGAGATGATGAATATAAAGCATTTAGCTTAGTGCTTGGTAAATAATAGGAGCCAAATAAATGTTAGCGTTTTTGCTATTGTTGTTCTTACTGTTATTATGGTTATTGCTATTTCCACATAGGTCACACAGCTATTTCCATAAATGTTTGTAGAATAATGTGTTTGTTTTCAGTTGTATTATTTAATATTTTTACTTTTTCTACAGTTCTAAATTTGTTTGAAATTTATTAAAAATATATAACATGTTACTATGTTTAATGATATCCTATCTTCCAATAATTTAGATTTGCTACATAGAAGAGAGATTGAAATGTCTCTCTGTCTTCTTTTAATTTTAGAGACGTATTACTACATTTCTCCATTAGTTGGTGTCTTTTTCTTGGCTCTGACTCCTATCTGGATTATAATAGCTGCCAAGCATCCAGCCACAAGGACAGTTCTCCATTCAGGCTGGGAGCCCGTCATAACAGCTATGGTTATAAGTAGGTTAGTATTAAAGTATGTGTGTGTATGTATGTATTCTATATGCATGTATATATGTGCATATTAAAACAAATCAATGTTTATTTTTTATGTAGCCAATTCATTATTCTCCCAGGTAATAAGGGATCAAAGTGATAGAAGTTATTAAAATCAACAGACATATGGAAGCTTCTAGTTTCAAACTTCTCTCCAACCAAAGCCTTACCAGATTGTTGAGTAAAATTTAGTGGTGTTTGGCTTAATGTGTGTGTGTGTGTGGGGGGGGAGTGTTAACCTGACAAGAACATTAGCATTTTGAAAGTTAAGTTGTTCAGATAAGTATCAGAAAGCCTTAGAAGTGTATATACCATTTGACTGCTTCCACATCTGGGACTCTGACAAAGATATTATTAAGGATGTATGTGAAAAATTTAGTTGCAAGCATTCTCATCACGGTGAAGTTTTAATATCAAAAAATAAAATAACTTAAATGTCTAGCAATCAGGTATTGATCAAATAAATTGTGGTATAGTCACAAAGTGGAATATTAGCCACTAAAAATAACATTGTAGTATTTCATTGCTAGGGAAAGATGTTAATTATATATCTGGGGAAAAGAGCAACCTCGAAAAGACTGAATTTCTTGTTAAACTTGGTAGATTAAGACACATTTTTCTTCTTCCTTCCTGAAACTTCTAAAATGATAATAAAAGAATAAAAATGCCATAAAACCACAAAGACTGAAGGAGAACAGAGAGGACAGCAGGTGAGCAATTCAACGAAATTAGGAAGATAAGAATCAGATGCATAGTTGTTAACTGAATGAGCAGAATGAAAAAAGCTGAAACCTAATTGCCCATCAGAAGCAAGCTGATACGAGCTGCAGAAACCCAGGAAGGCAGAGGAATTAGAGGCACTAAGTACTTTTGAAAGCTGAAATGAAAATTGGTTGAAAGTTTAGGTATAGCAAGTAGATCCCCCAAACCCTTCTCTAGCTTGAACACCCACATGACTGCCCCCTCCTACCCTAGGAGAAAATAGGAATAAAGTCTGGAGAGGCTAAATAAGAGAGGTTCTTTTCTAGATTCAGAAACATGTGCACAGGTGAGGATGTGGATTAAGCACTGTATGAAAAAAGGAAGACTAGGTGAAAGTCTACACACTGAGCAGTGAGAACCCTATCACACTTCATTTTCTTTGTTCATAGAAGGCTAGCAGTCAGCCTTATACTTCCAGGCAAAAAATTAGATAATTCTTTCTGGGGAAACTTAGCATAAAAGAACAGACCTAAAAATAGTGACCCTTAGTGAGCCCTTTTAATGAAAGAGCTGCAGACCCACCTGATTGTTCTTCAGCGACCCACTTGCTGACACACTCTGCCCACGGACACAGAGAGTATGCTTTGCAGTGCCCCTTAAAGACGAGTAGACAATAGAGAATCGGCAGGCCTTTAACATGAAAGGCAGACCAAAAAATGGTACTCAGAGTGTAGGGACAGTTGAAAAACCTCAAATAACTATCAGTATCCTTGGAGAAATAAGAGAAGCTATCACATCCATGATGTAGGAACAGAAGAAATAAAGAAATAATACAAGAAAATTCTCCAGAACTGAAAAATGCGGGTTTCCAGATTGAGAGGGCCCACTAAGCCCCCAGCATAATGAATTAGAGTAGGAGGGACGGTTTTGGATAAAGCTGATAGGAGGTGTGGTGTATCAAAATGAGGACATAACTCAAGGAAGATGACCCAGGAATGAGGAAATGCATTTGGTGACAGTATGTGGTTCATTTTTCTGTATGTAATGTAATAGCTTTTTCCTGGAAGATTCAGTCCTATGAAATATTGGGACTTGGTCATAGATCAAGATCCAACAGGGAGAATGAAGGGAAGTTACAGGATGACAGCTGTGCATCAGACCTAGAGAACAACCATACAGATTGTCAAGAGGACAGTGGGCTTAAGGAGGGATGTCACTAAGAAAAAGAAAGTGGAATTGATTGGTTACCTGATAAGTTTGACTGTATTGATTGGTATTTCATTAACTTTGTTACATGTGTGAGGCTGAATTAGTAATAGGTACCTAAAAAGGAAGAAAAATATGAAGCAAAGCAAAAAGTACAAGCAAAGATATCTAATAATACACTTTGTGGCTCAGCTGTGAATAATGATTCCATTGTTATAATAAAGTCAACCTTAAATATTTCACCATGAATTATAACCAGATTGTCAGGATGTGGGGAGGAAGGGATTTATGAAAGAACCAAAGTGGGGAGGGAAGTATAAGAGAGATTAAATTCCTCATCTGCCATATTAGAAAGTCATTAGATAAATGTCTAAAGTTAAAAATGAAAAAAAATAGCAGTATAAGCCTGCTATTTAGAAATCTAGAATTAAATGCCAGAAAAAATAGCTAAAGAAATTGAAAAGAACTCCTAGTAGAAAGAAGGATCTAGGAGTGGGGCTAGAAACTATTATTTTATTATAAGCTTTGCAGTACTTTTTCATAATAATGCACATACATTTACATTTCATAAAAATAAAATGTAATAAAAGCAAAGAAAACTACTTTTCCAATTTAACCCAATTTTTATTTTTAAAAATACATGCATTTAAAAATATCTGGGGGTGAGTTTAGGGAGATGTTAGTCAATGGATAAAAAATTTCAGTTAGGCCAGAGGAATAAGTCTAAGAGATCAACTGTACAACATGATGACTATAGCTAATAACAATGCATTGTATTTTTGAAAATTATTAATAGATTTTAAATGTTCTCACCACAAAAAATAAAGTATATGAGGTAATACATATGTTAATTAGCTTGATTTAGCCATTCTACAATGTATACCTATTTCTTATACATCATGTTGTACAGGATAAATATATGCAATTTTTGTCAAATAATAAGGCCAGATGTGGTAGCTCACACCTATAATCCCAGTACTTTGGGAGGCTGAGGCAGGAGGATCGCTTGAGACCAGAAGTTTGAGACCACCCTGGACAACATAGTGAGACCCTGTCTCTACCAAAATAAAAAATTAGTTGGGTGTGGGGGCACACACCTGTAGTTCCAGTTACCCCAGAGGCTGAGTGGGGTGGATTGTTGGAGCCCAGGAATTGGAGGTTATAATGAACTGTGATTGTGCCACTGAACTCCAACCTGGACAACAGAGTGGGGCCTGTTTCTAAAAAAAAAAAAAATTTAATAAAAAATTAAAAAACAAAATAAGATAAATATGTAAGTAAAAGAAAACATCTGGAAGGCTATACTGGAGTTAATAGTATAACAGTATACTGTTAACTGGTGTTAACAGTGTAACTCCAAATGATGTAACTAGGGTTGATTTTTATTTTACTGTTTATATTTGTATTTCCTAATTCTTTCTATAGTAAATTTTATTACCTGGGTAACAAAAATATTTTAAAATTGATTTTTAGCAAATGTTCATGTTAAACTAATATGCTCTTGAAATATGTATTTTATTTTTTAATTAGAGCTTAAAATATTAAAATATTTCTAAGAAGGACTATTTTAGGGCCCTGTAGTATAACTTTTTAATGGAAACTCCTACAATTTAGGCATATCAAGCCATACTTCATGTATTTTACTAAAGAATTAAGATAACAAATCAATAATTTCCTAATGTTAATTATCAGGTAGTAAGAACATTTGATTTGGTATTTTGACAATCAGTCCCTTTCTGTGACAACATGTGGTTCATTTTGCTGTAATGTGGTTTGTAGTTTCCTAGAAAGTTTAGGCAACAAGATCCCATGGAATATTGAGACTAGCACTATTTTATAGTACATGGACCAAGAGACTGAAGTTAACCAACTGATCATGATCTTGGAGACTTTAAAAAAAAAATCTCCAAATGTTGTTGAAACATTGAGAATATATGGTTTGCCACTATATAATTGTATATTATTTTTCTTTTGTTCTCAAAATCAGCTTTTTCTGTGGCTACAACAAAAAGAGCTGATTTTAATTTTAATTATTTTATATAATTATTTTAATTTATGAGTGGTAAGACACATCTGGTGTCTTACCTGATTATATCTAGTTTTAAGACAATAAAAACCATCCCTTTAATGCCTTGCTTACTTCAAATATGAAAAGATATTCTTTTAAAAAATATTTAACTGGGGGATGGTCATGATGGAGACTCAGACTTTTGGGGGGAGGGGGGAAATGGGCATTTATTGAAACCTTAAAATCTGTACCCCCATAATATGCCGAAAAAAAATAAAAAAAAATAAAAATAAAATAAAAATAAAAATATTTAAAAAATTTTAAGAGTAATACATGACATACTTTTAAAAACTTAATAAGCATAGAAGGATATAAAATGACCATCAGTCCCCTATCAGTCTCACCCCCAAGAAATAGACATGGTTAGTAATTTTTTATCTGTCCTTCCAGACATTTTAATGCATTTAAAGCATATACTTTTTCTTTTTACAAGTGTCCTGAAATTTGAGGCTATAGCTTGTGCTATGTTTTATTTGCAACATTTCCCTGTTGACATTGATTTTTCACTTTGAATATTTTTCCTTTTATTCTATTTTTAAAATGTATAAATATTTTAAAAATGTAGGAGTGTCTATAAGTACAGAACATTGCCTTTCCTTTTCCCTAAATTATATAATTTTGTATCTTTCAGCATTGGGGGCCTTATTCTGGATACAACTGTATCTGACCCAAACTTGGTTGGGATTGTTGTTTACACACCAGTTATTAATGGTAAGAATTAGATATACTGCTTCATGATAGTACCAAATCCTTGTATACTCTTAGGTACCAATGGAGTCTTAGGGCTCCGATTTTAAGAGCTCGACCTTCCCATCCTATCCATTCTCCTTCCAACCCCAAGTTGTTGCTCACAGTGGAAATTACATTGCCTGGTCTCAGGATGTAGAACATATTTTTGGAAGAACTGTTTCTTAATATTATCATCAGCTGTTAGTTTGAGAGTCAAGGATACCTGACTTAAGGTTAGTATGGCAAAATATGATATTTCAGATTTGGATTATCATTTACTTTGAGTTTATCTGCTATCTTATGTTGTTTTGTTGCTGCCTTTGTCAATTCATGGATAAATTAGAGTTAGCTAGATTTAAGCATTGCTTAAGTCAGTTCAGTTTATTAAAATCTATTAGTCCTCTGCTGATCTCTTTAAAATGTTTTGTATATTCTTTCTTATCTATAAAATGAGGATTAGAATACTTAGGCTCACAGGGATTTTTGTATGACTTACATTTAATAAAATAATCCATTCCTACTGGCTTTTGGGGTGGCTGTCATTAAATTGGATTTTGGTATAGCCTAAACCAACATAATTTAAAAAGTAATTCTACTTGTAGAAAAACATGTTACAGGATATACTATATATTTAATATAAATTACTTTTGTGTATTTATATAAAAGAAAATGTCATATAAAGGCAAGTTATCTAAAATCTAATTTCATAGCTAAAATTTCTACTAAGCATTTTTATTTTTGTATGCCTTTAGAATGTCTGTGAACAGATGTCCTCTATAGGTCTTATTCCCTTTTTTCCTGGAGCTACGATTCTCTCCATTACTCATCATTAGAATTGTGGAACCATCTGATTCAACCTGGTCCTTCATACTCGTTGATTAGAAAATGAGCAAACATTGTCTTTTTGCCCTTTAACACAATTCATTTGTTTATTCACGTATTTATATAAAAGCCTGTCTCACCCTTGTAGTCTAATGTCTCACCATGGCCATCCATTCAAGTAATAGTAGCTTTCCTGACTCACTCTCTGTTCAATGAAAATTAAGTGTCACCAACAAACTAGTCTTCCTTAAACATTGTTTTTATTACATCATCCCTGAGTTGAAGAACTTAACAGTGGTTTCTTCTCATCTATGGAATCAAGTTTAAATTCTTCTGCCTAGTTTTCAAGGCCCTTTCTATGCTATTGGCCTTGATAGTTTCAAAAGATGTGTGCAACTTTATCATTCTAACTGGGTTCCTATATTGTCCCTACAAAGATCATCTAATTTTCACTGCTTGGAGTGACTACCACTTTCTTTCCACCTGTTCAAATCCTCTTTTGTGAATATTAGTGGATGAATTCATTAGCAAAAACATTCAATAATGACTGCTAGAGTTGTATTGAATAACATTTCAGTGAGAAATTTAACTTAAATTACAACCACCCTTTTATTAGTAAGGCTTTAATGAGTATTGCAGTCATTTCACTTTACCTAGGAAACAATTCTAGCTTCACTGAAATGCTCTCCTTGGAAGTCTGTGCCATGGCATTGTAGGGTAGTCAAATTGTTTTTGTATCTCAGTAAGCAAACCTTAGTTAAGTATCACAATGAGCTCATCTTATGTTAAATTCCATTCTTTAAAAACATTCATAGAGAAGATTTGCTCTATGTTCCTCAAATAAGATGGAACTTTCAAGAATTGAATTTCATTTTAAATATGCTGAGGGATGTACTATTTAAGGACCCTGCTTATCATCATGATCATCAGCAGCAGCAGCTATTTAGTGAGTACCTGCCATGTGCCAGATAACTTATAGGTCTTTTATGCTTGTTATATAATCCTCACAACAAGATAAGTAATTTTCCCAGGGTCTTGCATTTAGTTAAGTGGTAAATCAGGATTTAAACCCAGATCTGCTTGATTCTAAAGCGTGCGATTTTTTTTCCCACTCAAAATATACAGCTACCAATTTATCTGTTTTATTAGATACAAGCATACATATTTATTTAAAGTAAGGCATATCTGGGTTGATATTGTGATTAGGATATCTTTTAATATTTACTAGCATCTCTCAAACTATAATAGTAGAATTTTTCAGAATATATTTCATGGTAATACTAGTTCTGTGAGATGTTAGTAAGTGTAACTTGAAAAGTGAGTTCTGTGGTCAATTAAATTTGCTAAACATTAGGTTAAACATTTTTTTCTTTTCTTTTCTTTTTTTTTTTTGAGACAGAGTCTCACTCTGTTGCCGGGGCTGGAGTGCTGTGCCATCAGCCTAGCTCACAGCAACCTCCAACTCCTGGGCTCAAGTGATCCTTCTGCCTCAGCCTCCCAAGTAGTTGGGACTACAGGCACATGCCACCATGCCCGGCTAATTTTTTCTATGTATTTTTAGTTGGCCAATTAATTTCTTTCTATTTTTAGTAGAGACGAGGTCTCGCTCTTGCTCAGGCTAGTTTTGAACTCCTCACCTTGAACAATCCACCCACCTCGGCCTCCCAAGTAGTTGGGACTACATGCACACGCCACCATGCCCAGCCTAAACAGATTTGTTTACTACAGGATTACTTAAAACCTTTATCAGGTTAACATATATCATGAGGCTTTCATTCTGGTACTTCTATTAGCTAGGTCTTGGAATTTCTGACCTTCCTTCAGACCTCGCAGACTACATTTTGAGAACCCCTCATTTAGGGCTTGTATCAGAGTCTACTTTCATCACAGTCTACTTTCAAACAGTAATATACCACTTTACATATAGGATAAGAATCTTATATCAGCATATTTGAATTACCACTCCTCTTTCTGGTGTGATTTTTGTCATGAGTTTTGCTTTGTTATAAAAACCCTCTAACATATTCTTATTATTTTTGCTTTAAACAGTTATTTTTTAAAAGAGATTAAAAATGAGAAAATGATATCTTTTATACTTTCCCATATAAATTTATATTTCCAGCATTCTTGGTTTGGATCCAGGTTTTCTTCTGGTATTATTCTGCTTCTGCCTGAAGAAGTTCCTTTAGTGTTTCTTGTAGGGCACACCTGCAGAGAAAACAGACGCTGCGGCCATAGTCTGTCTCAGTCTACTTCTCTTTCCTTCCTTCACCTCTATGCTTACTTCTAACAATGTCTATTTTTAACTTCTTCCACCCTGATCTCAGAAGAAGAGCTGACTCTTTTTCCCAAGAGTAATTCCTCTGTGCTTTGGATGCCATTCTATTACAACTCCATCAATTATTTTAACTTCTCTCATGTCTCCCATGTCTTCTTCTTTTCCATCTTTTCCCTTTACCCTACAAATGTGCTCAAGTCTTTCATCCCGAATCACCTTTCCCATGCTTTCCTGCCTTCTCAAGCTTCTATTCTCTCTCTTCTACTCTTTACATTCAAACTTTCCCAAGGGTAGTCTATGCTTTTCCACCTCATTACAGTATTTTTCTTCCCTTTCCTTCTATATAACTTTTTTTTTTTTACTAAGCTCTCCAGTGACCTCCTAATTACTTTATCTAGTTACTTATTTTGGGTCTTCTATTCAACTGTTTGAAACTATTTAATATACACTTATTGCAGCTGTACCAAGTCTCATCCCATTCTCCAAAAATTCTTTTTCATTTTCTTCTTGGGTTTCTCCTTTCCACCTGCCTCTTAAGTGTTTGTATTCTTCTAGAATCTGTTCTTGATCATGTTCTATTCTCAGTCTTCACCTTCTTTATGGGTGATATTGTCTAGTCCAGAGGTTTTCAGTGTGGTACCCAGACCAGCAGTATCACCTGAGATCTTGTTAGAAATGCAAATTCTCAAGCTTTAACCAGAAGTTCTAAGGTGGAACCCATCAACTGATTCTGATACATGCAAAGGTTTGAAAACCACTTGTCTTTGTCATATGGCTTCAACTCTTTATTTCTAGTCTTGACACACCATTTCATATGTTCATTTCTAGATCCATACATTAAATTGGATATTTCTACATCTTTACCCCACAACCTGCTCTTCTTTCCATGTTTCCAGTGTCAGTTAGTGGTATTGACATCTACCCAGTGTCTCAAACAAGACATCCCCAAATCACATACTCCCTCTTCCTTATATTCTTTACTTTTATCTGCTCTTGAAATAACTTCTGAATTTGAGATCCACTGGTTAGAGGAAGGATGAGAGCTGAGTTAGTGTAGCCAGGCAGGATTCAAGAGAGACCATTTATTCGGTGATTAGGAAGTCATTTGAGAGTTCAGTTTTGTTGAGTAGCAGGATAAATAAATGAAGGTATAGTCTTACAACAGAATATTATAAACAATAAAAATGGTTGAATTACATCTATCTCCCAGAAGAGCAAGGATGAATCTCAGTAACTTAATATATGATACATTATTCCATTTATGTAAAGTTTAAAAGCATGTAAAACTCAATGATTTATTGTTTAAGAATACACATATATATGATAATAACACAGAGAAAAGCAAAAGAATTGAAAACACAATTAAGGATAGTTTCTTTGATGAGGAAGGAAGTATATGGGCTTGGGAAGGGGCACATGGAGCACTTCAAATATAAAGGTAATAGTGTATTTCTTTTCTTAAACTGGATGGTGGGTACATGGGCATTTTTTGTAGTATGATTCATTATAGCTTACATATATCTTATAAAATTATTTTTGAATATATTAAATATTTAGTATAAAACAATAAAAATCTTGGAAGTAGCACTTTTAGGCCTCTTACTAAATGGTTGATAATGAAAAGAAAAGAATTAGGATAACGCCTAGAAGTCCAGATTAAAAAAAGACATGTCTCCCCATCTTTTTTTTTTTTTTTTTTTTTGCATCTCTTGAAACTAAGAGTGTAATTTCTGCATGTGGGTTCTGATGAGTCTTGAAAGGAGGATAGGTGAAATTGCAGAAGTATATGGAAGTAGCTAAAATATGTAGGTATACATGGAAAGTGCTAGATCTGTTGTGCTGTTGATTATAGAGATTTACTTTTCAAACAAATGAACTTTTG